TGACTTCTGAGATTTTTCGAACTTTGTTCACTTCGTCTTTCCTTCCAGCCTTAGAATATGGCCTGCCAGCTATCCATCCTCTTTCAAAATTTGAATTCGCTCTGCTGGAAAAGGTTCAGACATGTGCGTTGAATACTGTTCTGGGGCTTTGTGATCGCCCGTAGCCGATTCGACTCCAGGAGCTAAATCTGTTCTCTCTCGAGCTCCGCCGTCGCCGGGGTGATCTCATCTACACTATACGCATCCTCCGAGGGGAATTTGGAAGTAAGTTACAACAATTCTTCCGGCCCAACACTGACTGTTCCACACGAGGGCACACATGGAAACTATTTAAGCAAAGAAGAGATTTCACATGGACGTCACCCTATTTACTAGAGTGATAAATGATTGGAAAGGCTTACCGGAAGAAATTGCAGACGCGCCATCCGAAGAAAGTTTTAAGTGGCTGCTAGACGAACATTCGCTGAGAATGCTAGAATCTTGCGACTGCCATTGCAATTGTGACGAACTGTCGAGTAACGTCGTAACGCAGCGAGACTCGTCAAACCCAGTATGATACGGAATCGTTGGGGCTGACAAGGGATTTCCCTCGTGCTCTCTACAACTCAATGAACTAACAGTGATAACAAACTCAGATGCTTTGGACGGCATTGTTGACCCTCCTCAAATGGAAGGCTAGTCACGAGCTCCTGGGCTAGAAAAGAATAAGCGAAAGTGGGCAAGGAAAGCGCGCAATCACCACCCCCGAACCATGAGGTAAGAAAACGCTCAAGATGCAAGCGCCTAAGCTGGAAACAACACCGGGTGCTGAAATTCCCTCAGCTTCATCTAAGGCTATGCAGGTAGGGGATAAAAGAAACACTAGATGTCCCCATCGCGTGCCAATCAAACTGCGGAGGTACCTACACCAAATACCTAACCCTAGCTTCCCGGGGTACAGGTTCTGGAGGCGGACATCGCCATTGAGTCACGGGCTTCCTCGCCTGTAGAACGAAAGAAAAATCGGAACAGAAATGCCCGTACACTTCAGGCCAGTTCGAAAAGCGTCAAGAATGATGAGTCAAACTAGCTGGAGCATAAGACGTACGCTAACGTTGCCTCAGCGTTGTCTGATCACGTGCGCCGTCACATTGCCTGCGGCTAAGCTGGCTGCTGTTCATATAAATTCAAAAAACTCGTGGTGTTAATAAACCCCGTCCAGGTGATTCTTTCATGGATTGCTGCGTGATATTCCGTAACGCAGTGGAATCCACTGCCGCATTTCCTGCCGAACGTACGTTGGACTACCTACAGTGATTTAAAATGTGCGTAACGGAGCTTCTTCCGCCTGTGTTTCCTGGTGTTACTTTCATGAAACTGACTAGATTGGGTAACGTCCCGGTTAACGTCTTAAACCCTCGACCGCGCTTACTTTGTGTGGTTCTATTTACCCCAGAGGAACGCAACTTGTCGCGGATTGTTTTCAAACTGAAGTGTACTAATGTTAGCCATCAGCCCGCTAGGGGATAGGCTTAAGCTGAAACAGCTCATCAAAGGCCTCAAAACCAGGCGAACGGCCGGTGAACAAGTCTCCGATTGATGGGTTTTCGGGTGGTCAGCCGGCGTTTATTTTTCGTCCTACCAGTGCCAGTCCTGGTAGCGCACGACCCAGAGCTGGACATAACGAATATCTTCAGATAGTGCTAAGCAATGTGCACAACCTAAAGTATAAGATGTGTGTGATAGGTCTGCTTGTAGATTTGTCTCATCCCGATATACCCGCATTCACGGAAACGTGGCTATCTAAGGACTTCACGGACGGTGAAGTAAATCTGTTTGGCTACGCACTATTTAGATCTGTTCGTTCCATTGGCCGACAAGGGAGGCCTTGCGCTTTACGTTAACTGTGAACTTGACGTTTTGGGTACCTACATGTTTCCCTCGGCAGATACAACTGTCGAAGCTCTATCGGTAGTGATTATCACTTCTCGGTTGAACTTGCAGTTGTACTTGTGTATAGAAGCCCTTTGAGTTCGTCCAAAGAGGTGCTTGAATTTATTCGTTTCCAGTCCGCAAACAGGTGTTTGCGGTGCTTGTGTTTGATACTGGGTGAGCTCAATCTACTGGAAGTATGCTGGGCAAATCTTTCATGCAACTCGGTGGCAGGTACTTTCGGTGCGGATTTTCTTGAGCTTACGCTACAAGTACTGTTGCATCAGTTCGTGGACCACCCTACTGGGTACATGAATGTCCAAGTACCGTCTATTTTCGACTTAGCTTTTGCCAAGTCATTAGACTTCGTAGGTGACATCACTTACAGCTCTCCCTTAGGTGCTAGTGATCATGTCTGTTTATCATTCAGCTGTGCTCTGACCAGATGTCACTAGAGCATCGCTGAGCCATATCCAAACATTGGCATGCCAACCATCAGCCAGTGAGGATCAAGACTTCTGCGTTGTGTTGCGAAATCTCGGTGGCTGATACGGTTCAGGCGGCCTGGGATACATTTAAGTCTTATCTCACGGAAGTGTCTACTCCCTACATCCCGCTTGCGAGGCGAAGACATTCACGCACCCCGTGGATAGATACTACTGGCCAGTACCTGCTCCAGCAGCGTTCTAGGTGCTGGAGGACCTATCGTGCGGCTCCATCAACTAGCACCTATGATAGGTACCGCGAGGCTAGAAATAGATGTAATCAACACTTGTGGAGAGCTCGGCTGTTGTAGGATAAGTGATTGGCTGATGCAGCTTCGGAAAATCCGAAGTTTTTCGCTTATGTTAAGAGGCGCTGTGGTTCAAATTCAGTAATTCCAACTTTGATGCGGGCCGGTGGAACTCATGCCCATGCGAACTCGGACAAGGCTCGTGTACTTGGTGAGCAGTATGCAGGGGCTTTTGTATGTGAGGTCTCGCTGACTAGCGTTGAATTTTTCCCCATAGTCCCTGAGGGTTCTTATTTAGCTGAATTTGCTGTGGTGGAAACGCAAGTCCTTAGATTGCTGCAAGAACTGGACCATTCTAAAGCAGCTGCGCGTGATTCAATTCACTCGATGCTTCTGCATGAATTGGCATTGGGACTAAGTGGACCGCTGACTATGGTGTTTCGGAAGTCACTTGATAACTGTACATTACCTGAATGGGAGGAGACTGTCATCTGTTCTATCTTCAGAAATGGTGACAGGAATCTGTCAGCCAATTATAGGCCAGTCAGTCTGACTAACGTCTTGGTCAGACTACTTGATTAGCTGCTGGGAGATTCGTTGTAAGGTAACCTGAATAGATTCAATCTACTCACTAATGCACAACACGGATTCCGGAAGAGGTTTCCGTGTCTGACGAATTTGTTGATTGCTCGTGAAGCTTGAGCCGAGCCAGTGGACAATGGCCACGTAGTGTGTGTGCTTTTCGTCGAGTTCTCAAAAGCATTTGATAAGATACCCCTCTTGAGACTATCACAAAGCTGAGCTCCTACGGCGTATCTGACCTCGCCTTTCATTGGGGATCTGCATTCTTGCAGGGAAGAGAGCAGTGTGTACGTGTGGGTCGCAGCTTCTCTTTTATGCAAGCGGTCCTTAGCTACGTCCCACAGGGCTTGGTCCTTGGACTTATGCTGTTCTTCATCTACGTAAACGATCTCCCTAGGGAGCTTGGGTTATCATCGCTCACCGGTTGTGGTGTTGTCTGGTGAAAAGCCACTTCATGCTGATTATGCAGACGATATTGTCTTGCTTCTCAATAATGTTGGGGCGACCCACTAGCCTCTCTAGAGTGGTCCCATCATTCTCCATGCGCTTCGTGCCTTCAAAGTGCAATATGCTGTTGCTGTACTGCCCGCCAATTGATGACCCGTTGACCCTTGATGACGTGGAACTTGTGGCAGTTGATCACTTCACCTACTTTGACAGTTGCATCGGCAACGATGGGCGCATAATGTCTAAAGTCCCTATACGCATTGCGGAAGCTAGAATTGCCTTGTGTCTACAATGTCTGTTATTTCAGGAAGGAAGTTTCCCTCTGTCTGGATGGTGGTGAGGACCGTGCTACTCTAAGGGAGTGAGACTTGACCCCTTCGGTCTGAAGATCTGAGGCTCCCTCAAGTCTGATCATCGCTGTCTGCGGAGCATTGCTGGTGTCAGGTGGCACGAGCGTGTCCGCAACGATACTGTGCATAGGCGAGCGCTCGGTGGCGACAGTCATGCTAGTTCCTTAGAACGATAGATAGCACTGAATAAGTTGCGTTGACTTGGGCACGTTAAGTATGCCTGGTCATCGCTTACAGAGGAGGGCCCTGTTTTGTCTGCCAATTGTAGGGTGGCTCAATGCCCGAGCTGGACAAAAGTTGACTTGGCATCAGGAAATTAAGTCAATGACGACCAAACTGGGTGCCATCGGTCCGTCTCGCCTTCCGGGCTAGAGTCCACGTGACTCGCCGTGTGCTTGGCTCGAGACTTTACAGGAGGTGGCTCGCAGTCGGCACCAGTTGCGTGACTACTATTGTCTCGTACTCGGACTGCCTGTTTAAGGTGCATATGGTGCTGACTTATCTTCGGGGTAATGGCTGATTGTGACACGTGACAGTGAAAGCTACAAGAAAGCTGTCTGGCCGACGCCGCTTTATCTTTGTACGATAGCCAGTTGTTTGTGTAGGTGTGTTGTTGACAAGGTGTGGGCGCCTTGGTTCTGAGTGTTTATTTTGGGCATTAAGTTTTTACTGTAGCTCCCGCTTCTCCAACTCTTGTTATTCATTCGGTAAGTCGTTGTGGTTGTACGGCAGCGAATCCTCAGTTCAAATAGCTAATTTACTGCTGTAGATAATGTCCTGCCGTCTACGCGGTATCCCTTTTGCATTTCAGCTCACTCAGTCTCTTACGACCTACGTACGTCCTCTGAACCCTCGACCGGACGTGTACTACCATCATTGACGCTGTTCCCCGTTTACAGCCTTATGCTGTTCGCCGGCCCGGGTCTCGGGCCTCAAGCCGTCATCTACCCATCCAAGTAGTATTCCTATAACATTATATGACTTTTAGTTCCAAACTATGTCACATTACTCTAATACTGTCGAAATCACTTAAAGCTGTCGCTTACTTCGGTGCTTACGAAGTTTTGAAACGTTTTCATACGATTACCTTTCTTTTGCTACTTAAACTAAGGTAGAGCTGCATACACTTATTACAAGTGATCCAGTGCTGTGCTTATCATGTTCCCTCTGCAGAAGCCTTTCTCAGGAAAGTCATCAGCTGCTCTTCAGGTATGGTTTTTGCTTACTCTAGCACTCTGCTTAGTGGTTGCAATTGTGGAAATTTTCTGCCCTTAGACTTTGTCTCGACACCCTGTGGATCGAAGGATTGCGTCTATGTGGACCCTTCAGGTTGGTATCAACTAGTGTTCTCTATTCAGGCAGGTTCCTACTGTTGTTCGAGCACAGTGAATTAATGGTTCTTGCTACTGTGAGTGTCATGGTCCATGGCTCACCAAGCGCCTCTAGGGTAAATAGCAGCATTTGGATTACCCACAGATTCGCGGCGTCACTTTCTTGATTTTAGGCTTTATTTGCCTATCATTTTTCGACCATGACATAAATCACGACGGAAATGCACATCGTATCCTTTCTCTTCTTATTTGGAGGATTATTCTCTCGCCTTCGAAGGTTACGAAGCAGAACTACTAGTTATTTAGTGAGACAGTAATTACATCCTTTTGTTTTCTGACCCACTTGCACTTCTCATATTTGATTTGCTCTCACTGTTAAATGGATCACAATTTTTCAGGGTAGGATTTTCGTTTGGTTGAGCCATTACGTGATGCTCTAAACTAGTTGGAAGTCGACAATCTGTCGGGTGCCTCATAGGATGCCCAGATTCTGGCCATCGTCCTATGCTTTCAGAGTATGAGACAATTTGCGGTTACAAGATCAGTAAAGTCAGTATGAAGAACAGGCACTACATATTGTCGTGAATTTTATAGTGGCACAGTAATTGCCCACTGATCTACTACTACATGTTTCGTACCATTTTGCATCCAGCCACTAAGGTACGATCTCGTCAACTTCACATGCGGTCAAACTTTCTCCAAAGATTTTTTCCAGTAAGTCGAGTTGTTCGACTGCTGCAAGGTACAAGTGCATGTCACATGTCTCCGTCGTTCATGCAAAGCTGTTTCTTCTTCTTTCCGGGATTCATCTTCCGTAGTAGGGCACCTAGAGCCATCACAACGTGACGTGGTGCGACGGTTTGCATGTCTCCTTGACCCATTAAGCTGCGCTGCTTGACACTTTCTAAATGCCTTCAAAGTCACTCATACCACAAGTACAAGGTTACGAGTCAGGCTAGCTCGGTTTCACAATACTCTTCGGAAGTTAGGTAAAGGTTGGAGGCCCTCTTCTCTTAAAACATGGCCATAGAGACAGCAAGTTTGCAGACTGTATTGCCACAGCTCGACTGGCGTAAAGCATGAGCTCTACGCATTGTCTTTAACGGGGTGAGAGCACTTCCAGAGGTTCAGTGTTCTTTTCCCACCCAATTCAAGTCGGTCAGCTCCTGATCAAGTTGGTGCAAACCTGCCAGCTCCCATCTGCAGCTGACCGTGGTGGCAAATGCGTAACATAATAGGGTCGTAAAACACAAGTGCGTTGTTTTACATCTTCAAAGGCTGTCTTTGACATGCCTCAAGCAGATCCCATTGGGTCTTTCCAATCTCACTCCCGAGCTGCACTTGCTCCCGCTGCCTGTGGGTCAGGCTATTGAGCCAAAGGCCATGGGTGGAGCCACCCAAGCAAACCTTCATGTCCCGCACTGCCTTGTGGGTCAACTTGTTGAGTCAAAGGCTGGTGGTAGAGCACCTCGAACAAAATCCCTCTCCCGGAATGGGCGGCGTATAATCTGCGCTCTCGATCCCTTCGGAGGAGACGCTTGGTGCGCCTCCTGGTAAAGTTCCTGGAGAAACGACAACGTACCAAGACATGATCAGAGTCGACGCGGGCACTCCAGTACGAGCGGCAATCCAGGATGGAACCACGCCACCTGTAACTTATGGCAATGTGGTCAATTTGGGTCCATCGCTGACCAGCTACAGGTGGACGCCAAGTGGCACTTCGGCGCCCACTGTGTCTAAAAGCAGTGCTAGTAAGAAACAACTGGTGTTCCGCACACAGTTGCAGCAGACGTTCGCCGTTGTCAGTCCGTTCGGAGTTAAGACCATAATTACCACCCAGCTGAGCTTCTGAAGAGCTCGGACACCCTACATTTGCGTTCGTATCCCCTGCAAGTACTATAATATCCGAACTATTAGCACTGTGTAGTGGTGCGTTCAGTTCGTTATAGAGTGTGTCCTTGACAGCATTAGAACTGCAGTCGGTGGGAGCATAAGCGGAAATCACAAACAACCAGCGTTTTGTATTACTTCGTGAATCAATCTTGGTTGATGTCATCAAACCGACTGCACATAAACGGCTGTTCACCGGTATCCAATCCAACGATGGCTCAGCCTTGGAGCTTAGAATGATACCTCCACCAGCTTGACCCGTGAGTGCTGCATCGGCGTCTCCGGATGCGTGCAACTAATAACGAGAGGATAAGCCGGGTGCAGTAAATTCAACAACCCCATTAAGGCCATTGATCCTAGTTTCGGACACACAACACACATCAATACCCAATGTGTCCAAGGTGCGTGCAAATACCTCTTGACCTGTTTGTCTTAGAGTGCGAACGTTGAATGTCGCCATGGAAACGGGACAGCGTGGCATTATAAGGGACTGTTGCCGATAGGCGTCCGATGGGTGTCGTGGGAAGATGGCTGCAGATGGTTCTACTCCAGTGGCACTTCGGTTGCTGTCAATTAAGCTGGGAATTATAGAAGGCAAGTTAGTAATGGGGGTCGGGATGGAAGTAAGCGAAACAATGGAAAAGAAAGAAGGGAGGCGCCAGCAGTAGCATGTTTTCGCTGATCAGTCCTGCTGTATGCAGCAGATAAGGCGACCCTTGATAATCTGCGCGACAGCCGATGGAGAATGAAGTTTAAGTTTGGAGAAAATGCCATGGTTGTATGTGGGCTGAGATACTGCCAGAGCGCCCAGACCTAGACAGGAGGACGATTAGTGTCCTCAGCCAAAGCCTTTGGCTCAAAAGCCTGTCTGCAAGGCAGCGGGCAAGTGGCAGTGATCTAGTTTTAAAGAAATGGACGCCATCCCATTTCAAACCCCCAACCTGGAGGACCAGGAGACTGAGTTTATCTGACTTCTCACCATTGGCCAACCTGGTAGGAGTAGCTCTCAAGGTGCCCGGAGGCACCACCCAGTATAGCTTAGTGGGTTAAGGAGATACGCAAACCGTCGCACCACGTTAAGGTCCAGTCTCGTTGCGACGGTCGGCACCCTACAACGTCGCCGAAAACGGTTTGACACGGACAAGCTAGCCGTCCCATATATTCTGAGCGCATTTGAAGACACTGCCTCTAACATGCCTCCTCTATCCTCTGACGTTGACACCCTCGGCAAATATTACTGCCCCATAAATAAGTGTGCTGATTTGCCTAAGTACTACTAACCAAAGTAACACGTACTTGGTGGAGATTGGCACATGGGTAGAGATCTTAGCTGCACGTTCCAACTCGGTCGGCTGAGCCACTCCAGCGCTACAACAGCCTGTGTAAGGTCGTGTCTTAACACCTGGTTACGTTTGCGATGCAGCGAAATGTCGAACTACGGTACGCTATGAAATTTTGTGTGAAACTCAACAAAACTACCAAGGAGAAATTTAAAAATTTAATAGAAGCTTACAAAAGATGCCACTCCGTCGATCAAAATGGTTTTTAAGTGACAAAAGGTTTCACAGCAGTTTGCGAACATGTTAAACACGAGCCTCGTTCCGCAAGGCTACTCTTGTCAACAAACGATCGAGATGTGAAGTTGTGCGAGCTGTACTGGCAAAAGACCGCCAATTGTGTGTCAGAATAATTGCAGAGGAAACTGCCTTTGACAAATATATATATGTGTATATCATTTTAACAGATGTTTTACGCATGGAAAAATTCGTGCAAAACTGATGCTCAAAGGCTAGTTTGTGTAGGGAAAAGAGAACCGGTTGGAAATTTGTGCGGATTTGCTGGGAAGGCTCGTAATTAGACCAAATTTCTTGGGTGAAGTAACTACAGGAGACGAATTTCGAACGTTGGAGTATAATCTCAAGACCAAACGGCAAAGTGAGGAATGGCAGACGAGTAGTTCTCCGCGTTCGAAGAAAAGGCGCATGAGCAGATCCGGGGTGAAAACGACGATCGTCGTATTTTTCGACGGCCACGGAATTGTGGACAAAGAATTTATACCTCCAGGACAAATATTTAACCAGGCCTTCTACAAAGGTGTCTTAAAACGGGTCCAGCTAGTCCAAAAGGACATTGCAGATGATTGTATGCTGCACCACGATAAGGTGCCTGCTCACACAGTGCTTTCAGTTCAAGAGCTTTTGGTGTGGAGAAAACATTCCCACGCTACCACAACCTCCCTAAAGCGCTGACCTAGCTCTACGAGATTTCTACCCTTTCTCCAATTTGAAAAGTCATCATCATGGAACCGTGGAAAACATAAAAAATATGACGGATGAATTTAACACTCTTACGAAAAGTCACTTTCAGTACTGCTACGATCAGTAGAAAAAAGTTGGAATCACTGTTACCTCCCAAGGGTTGTACTTAGAAAGAGATCATTTGTAATTCCGGATGTGTCTCATATGCATTTCAATAAAAAGTACTACATTTACTTTTGGCACACAGGGCTATTTAGTGCGTCTTGCGAAAGGTACCCTAGTGCGCTACGTGTTTCGCCGTTAGATAACTTAGTTTGGAAAAGATTTCCTTATCAAGTGATGACTGGTTTTTCGTGTCATCTTCACTTTTGCAAAATAAGCTTATGAGTTTACTAGAAGGGTATACTACTAGAGTTTATTTTTTCTGTATCGGTTCTACAAATTTTCACTGTTATTATCGTTTTGAAGTCAGTGAGGTGTAGTATCCTTCCCTTAACGCCGGCTTCTATCTACCAAGTTGTAAACGATAGATTGCCTACCTTTTCAACCATATACTTCCGGATGCTGGTATTCGTACCTAGACATTGTGGAACCTCGTTATTCTACCCATGTTCTTCAATCAAAGGTACCACCCCCTATTCTAGCATCCACTGATGCCACTGTTCATCACAAGGTTATTTGGTCGAATCTCCGTCCGCATTTTATTTATTTTTGATTCCTTCGTACACTGTTTTCCTTAATTACCGTGTAGCTGAAGGAACTCACAAAAGCCTATTTATTCACAAAGCATATGAACTGTTTTCGAATATTGGCCTTTCTGACCATAAGGTTAGTGTGTAACATTTGTCAACTAGCCGAGGTCTTGTTCATTTCACAGCTTGCTCGGCGTATAATTGCTGCTCACATCTTTTAGTCCTTTTCGTTCTCCATGTTTGGTTTTCGGGGTGGCTTTTCAGTACATTTGGTTTGAGTTCTTTCGTTTGGTCGATTTGCATTTCGTGTCACTTGTACTCATCGAAAATACAATTTTTTTTGGCTATCCGAATTATAAAAGGAACCGCAGTCGACGGCTTGTAGCTACAGTTAGTGAGAAGGTAGGTCAGAATGAGAAAGATCCGTTATCCTCGGCCGGTGTATACGTCCTTCGACGCTCGGGTTTCAAGTTGGACCAACGGACTGCATTTTTGTGGACCCTAAGCACTTTAGAAGTTGACATATCCGGGCTTTGAGCCTCAGGTAATGTGGCTTTATCTTTGGTATTTCCGAAACATGTACGCCAGTTTTAATCACACTCTATTACGATACCAAATGCCTAACACTTACCGGGAACCGAGCCATTAGTTACGAAGGCCCGTCAGGATACTGTGAGGATATCGAAAAATGGTTGAACAGAATTTATGTTGTCAAATGTTGCGTGCGCTTCGTTTATCATCCCATCGGCCGGTCCGTTGCCTTGAGGATCACAGGCCTGCTTGGTAATCCGGGGGCGCCGAATCAAGCCCGTCCTAGGGACCAGGCGACCCCCGCACTATCCTTACCTCGTTTGCGACTGGTGGTGGTTGCGCGGCAGCGAAGCGTCTGTACTGTGTACCGGCGTACTGCTAATGCATATCAGCGCATCGGATATGGAATGCCCGAAAGGCGGATTAAGCTACTGGAATCTAATGGAAGGACCCTGTTTTCACTAAGCGCAGTTTAATCGGATAGGTAATCAAGCGTGAACTAAAACGGGGGAGGCAAGCAAGAAAAGAAGCCAGCTGCATTCAAAGGGTTCATAGAGTGGAAGAGTTAAGAAGGGCAGGAAAACCAACTTTTTCAACTGGTCCGCGATACGAGTCTGTCGGACCCATGAGTCACTATTAACAGTGGATAATCCATCTACCGACAGTTCTGTTTGCAAATGTAGCTCATGCAGTAGTTGCTCTTCAATCAATGAGATATCTGAGTCAGGATTAGGCAGAGCGTTCCTCACCATCAATTTGCTTTGCTACAACTTTTCACGGGAATAACTTACAAGGCTATTTGACTTACAGACGCTGTCGCCTCCCTCACTGCAGCACATGGAGGTTTTAACACTAGGTTGACGTTATGAAGTAGATCATGGTGCTTCAGCTGGCAATCCGTTTTTTACAGTTGATTGACAAATGGTTCGATTTCAACTATAAGTCACACGTGCCCTTCTATGATACCAGTGACAGACGTTCAGCATTGTTCATTGATAGTAGTCTAAGGCACTGATCCAACTACTGAATCCGCATACACGCTACGCACGCAGGTAGATGCCTTTGAAACGGCCTCATCCCTTCTCCTAGTGCCAAAGCATTTATGCGGCTTCCTCGAGCCTCAGGACGGTTCTGCCTCTGAGAGCCTTCACGCCTGTGTCATCTCACCTACGTGCATTGCTTGGGTATTGTCGATCTCAGCACACACACACACACACCTACGCACGCTAGCTAAAGATGGGAAACACCTCAGCTACTGTGCCGCAATACCTAAAAAGGGGAATAAAATGCAACAGGTGCAAGCCAGCTGAGCTACCGGTAACGGATGGGCGTTCCGGTAAACTTTCTGCCGGCTACTATGCAGCAGAAAACGTAAATTCCTATGCAAAATTATAAAATGCCAAATAATGAGATTGTGATTGGAGGGGGTGGCTAATAGGGATGGAGTGGGAAAAAGAAACAGCACGAACGCCACTGAGGTCGGCTCTTAACCATATCAACAAGTGTATCTAGCCAAACGTGTTCATCGTCTTTCGGACCCCAACCAGGGAGCCGAGACTCACCAACTTAGACCAGCTTCGATGTGAGGCCCTTCATTCCTGTCGACCAAGTCATCGCTTGGCCACCTCTCCTCTTCTTCCATCCACACCCCCGGCGCGCAAACAACGCACGTCGCGGGAGTCGGTGGGCTGGCATGCGTAACACGTGGCCGTGCCATCGGAGCCTGGTGCTTGAAATAACGATGTTGAGCGGTTCATTTCCGTTTCCTGTGCCGTAAACAAGGCGTCGAACACGCTCGTTGCTCACGTGGTGTTCCCACCAGATGTGAGCTAAATTGCGAAGGCATCGGTGGTCGAACGTAACTAGCCTCTTTTTGTTCGCTGACCTAAGGGGCCAGGTTTCACAACCGTACAGTAGGGTCGAACGTACCGCTGCATTGTACACTCTACCCTTCAGGGTGAGAGTGATGTCGCGCCGGCGCCATAAGTGGCGAAAGTTAGTAAAAGCGCGCCTCGAGCTTTTGCTATACGGTTCCATGGGTGCTGATACAGTTTCCTAGATAGTTGCATTTCCGAATGACTTCTAGCTGATCCCCACTAAGGGTCAGTGAAGGAGGCGGTCCAGGCCAATCTTGGAGGAACGCTTTGCACTTCGATGGTGCAAAGCAAAGCCCGAAACGGCTGACAGACAGTGCTAATCTGTGCAGTGCGGCTTGGCACGTCTGGGAACTGTCACAGATTAGGGAAATATAGTCAACATACTCCAAGTCAAGAAATCGTTCCCTGGGAGCAGCTCCACACCCACTATGTCGTGTCCTGTGAACGCGATTTTCATGACTTCGTCAATAGCGAAGTTGAAGAGGAAAGGTGACAACGGGCATCCTTGTCTCACACCGCTGGAGATATTAGTTGGCGATGACAGCTTACCGTAAGCTCTCACTCTGGCCGGACTACGCGCGTATAATGCTCGTATAATATTCACATATTTCTCAGGTAGACCTTTCCTGAGTAGACAGTCTCAAAGTGCACCGATCTCAGCACACTCGCAAACCAAATGAAATAAATCTTCGAAGGCGCGATCTTTGCATGTTTGAAGGAAACCGGTAGCCTTCTTGAACTATTCAGCCTGCTGTCCGTGGGGAAGTCTTCTGATGACTGCTGCTATTGTCACCGTCGCCTTCATATGAGTTTGGCAATTCAACTGCTGTAGCGTGAGGCATACCTTCGTTTGCCCAGCAACTAATCCGACTATTTAGCCCGTATACGCGTCCCTTTGATTAAATGATCAAGGTGAACCCTGGCTATCAAATGTGTGCCTGAATCAAGACTTCCACTTTCTGAATGCTTCGCAGGACCTCTTGCGGTTCCAGTATTACATAACTCGATGGCTTTTATCGCCTCTACCTCACAGTAGTTTATCAGGTAAGATAGTCGCACCCCTTGACTTGTCATTGCGCTCATTACGTTCGCTTGGAAGCTATTGTTAAATATCCAACGACGCAAGGGATCGCCGCCAGTTCGAACTAGTGTTAAAACTCCCCCCATTAATGCTTGCTGTCAGCTGGTTGGTATCTTATCATAAGTTCCAGACGAAGCTCGAACCTGCGAAGACTAACATTGAGACTCGTCACCAATCACCTGACTTGTAAAACGTTTGTCAGCACGGTAAAATTGGCGAGCTCGTGTTCGCGCAGAGGATACTCTGACTGACTACCCAGTGTAACATTACATTTTTTCTTAAAGTGTCTTGACATTTTTTACTTTTCTGATTATACGCAAGGTGGCAACTAAGTACTCGGTAGATGGTACCGGGTTTGGTTTATCCTCAACCTTTCATCCATTTATCGGCGAGTCGCAATTTATTCAACCTATGTTACAGCGGCACAGGCAGGTATCAAGCCAATTCAGTAGACAAATGCACGGTCTGTACAGCAAAACGGCGTTTGATAGAATAAATTGTACTACTAAACCTTTGTCATGTATTCGTAATCGTAGAAATGTAGTAGAATAGACTCGTGAGAACACGACAGAAGTAACTCCGCATGTTATCGTCCAGTAAACTTTAGTACAGTGTGGTTAATGCAACACGGTAAAATAAGGTGGTAACTTGTAATTTCCCAGTTGGCAAAAAAAGTAAATTCTTTGTTGTCAACATCAAATTTCTGGACAGTAGGTGAACGGAAGCGGATGCAATTTGACCATTCAGAAAACTAAGGATATACAGCTTACTTATTATGATTTCAGAAGGTTTGAATACAAGGCGGTTTTGGTAGGGTTTTATTGTGGCAGCGTTTCGCCTTTGATACAAGAGCTTTTTCAGGCCAGGTCTCTTATGTCAAGGGCGAAACGTTGCCACAATAAAACCGATTTGTTTTCAAACCTTCTGAAATCATGAAATCCAGTCGGTTCCAAGCCTATTCCGGGATATTGAAGCTTACTTATTAATTGTAAGTAGAGTAGTTTGTTCCCGCGAATTTTGAATTCAATGCATCGCACCCTGCTCGCAGGTCCAACTGCTCTCCAGCAATTCTGGCGTTACACCACAGCGCACTACCCATTTTGCAGCCACGTTTCATGCAGTCTGTAGGTGTCGACACGACTGCTTTCCATATTGTTGTTACAGGTCGTTCAAAGCAACCCAAAAGATTTTCGAATGGTACTTCAAGACATTTGAAGTGCGTTCGCCAGACCTGCAATTTGTGTGCAGACAGCTCCCGAAGTAATGTCCACCAGCGTCCTCAGCGGCGGCACGTTGTGTCTATCCACCGTCTTCAGGAATTCATAGAGCCCATTTTATTGGCTTGTTCAGCGTAGCATTCCTACTCAATCGTCTCCACCCGTCATGCATTTTTGATGTGATGGTGTTCCCGATTTCGTCGACTACGCAATTTGTGAAAATTACTTTTCTTCCCTGGGTTTTCATGGTCGTACGTCTGCGCAGCAAAATACGCATTCTCCTCCGACACCGGTGCACCAATGGGCGCACTGTTGTCACCAAACCAATCGAACCGCTTACAGTATGCACCCGAACATCTTTTTGTCGCAACGGTCACTGTTCCTTGGGGCAGTGCCATAGACTGCTAACTGAAGCGAAAAAGCCGATATCGCCATGGCGCATAGCTACAGCGTTCGCCAGTAGGGGGACAAACGTTAGATTTCCGCCGATTCACGGTAACTGAACAATACGTAAAGTTGAGAAAATATGCACTTTTCCCTGCGTTAATCTTTGATCAGTACCACACATAGCTCCACGCAGTACACGTGTCATGTGCACTTCATGTATGTCAACCTGGCGTACGATGACATAGTCGTGCAGGTGAGCCTGATCACTCCGTTGGATGCTCCCAAGAAGCTATATCACTGGTGCCTAGTGGGGACTGGGTGTTTTGATGACGATAAGTAACACACAGAGAAAGCATGCGGCCACCACTCTCTTTGATTGATTCCATAGCATTCGATCCGATTTCGTGTGTCCACATTGCGGCATCAGGCCCAACGCCACGCAGGTTGTCTTAGTTAGCCAATCGAGTCTTACTCATTGCAGCAATATCGAAACCGTAGCGCCCCGGTACCATGGCGGCGTGATAGGACCATGCGTGTTCTGGTCAATCAGTATATGCACTTTCCAGAACGTGCTTGAGCGCTATCCACGGAGGTATAGGATTATGCTGGTGGATCGCTGGGGTTGGGTGTTTAAGTTCGAGTGGGATTGTGGAAGGTGGACTGGGTCAGATAAAATCAAGGCTGGAGAAGGCGAAAGAGGAGAGAGAGAGAGAAGGGAAGGGAAAGAAGCGCATGAGTTTGCATATTTACCTTATCTACTTAACTGATTGATGCACGGAATTTACGAAGCCTGTCTAGATCCCATATTAAAGCCCGCTACCAGCGCATTGCCGAGTTGGACACCAGGATGTGTCGACTGAGCTCTGAATAGTTTGCATCTTGTGTGTCGTGCGAGTTTCCAACTTTCTTCGGTATTTACTGATGCAAACATGATCAATTACTAAATGGCTTATGTGCGTTTGTCTTCTGGGTTCGGTCAGTTACCGGTAACGCAAGTGCTAAACTTGTTCGCCGTCTCATCAGGTCGCTCCCAACTTGAAGCTTTATCTTTGGGTTCAGTTTTTCAGTATCACCGAAGAAGTGCAGAAAAGTGATTGAAACGCTGTTCGAACATTTTTAGGAGTACTTATCCAATTTGATACCAGTCACCGGTGACACATCCAGTTGCTTCAAGGCTAGTCAATTTCACATTGCTGAGATTGAAAAATACAGAATTTTAACAAGGGAACACCAGGAATCACTGAAGGATCAACAGAATGGAAATGTGGTAAGAATGAAATCTGATATTGAATCAGGAGTGGTCATTATGAAAAAATGACATCGTTCAAACATTTCAGGCAACTTACAGATTCTAGCCGCTTCGTTCGCGACTTGACGGGTCGTGATAGAACCGAACACGTTGAAAGATCCCTAGTACGTGAACTAAAAAGCTCCCGATGGATGTATTGCTTGGTTCAAAAATCATGACACAGCTGCAGCCACTTGGGGATTCATCTCCTTTTATGTATGGTTTACCTAAGATACACAAAGAAAGTGTTACTATGCGTCCAGTCGCATCAATGGTAAACGCACCATGCTGGCCGAACCCATCCCATGTGAGCCATTCGCATTCACCCTCAGAGATGCGTTTGAATTTTTCAACAAAATACAAAGTTTCCAAGTAGATGGGAAATTCCTGGTTCACTGTTCGCCAACATCCCATTGGAAAAAACGTTCGTCATCGGTACTCATGCTGACAAGTTGCGTTTTCAGCGCGTCACCTCGAATCTGTACTCCGTTTGTGTGCAAAGGACATACATTTCCAATTCAGTGAAACAATATACCGCCAGATCGATGGCGTAGCCATCAGTCAGTCGACTTCAGTCAATCCACTTCGCCCAATCCTGGACAATATTTTCATGGGGCAGTTGGAGAACATGAAGCTGCGTCCCAAAATGCAGTTTGCACTCGCACAGTAGCTACCTTGACGACGCGTTCACAGGCATGGCACTTGATGTGATACATAAATACCACCCAACGATCAAATTCACAATGTAAAGTGAAATGAGCAACACTTTTCACTTACTAGATATACACTCGACTTGTGTTTTGAACGCCCACTTATACAGGACAATGTCTAAATTTCAGCACTTTCTCTCTCGTATGCTACCAACGAATATTGGTCCGCTCCGCGTTCGCAAGAGCTCACAAACTTGTTCTGAAGATGCGATCGGCAGTAAATTGGGATGCGCGTCACCAATGCTATAGGAAAATGGATACCCTGTGCGATTCATAGTTCGGTATGCAGGCGCGGAAAATAGTAGAAAGCGTTTGAGAGATGTTCGCAAGAAAACAAAATGTGCTCATCGCGCTACTCTTTATCGCGTATCAGTATGATAGAAGATTCCGGTGCGTTCTTACGCCAGCTAGTGAGGAAAGACTATTACGCGAACGAACTGGTGTTATTACACCAAGTTAGGAAGTTGCTCTACAAATCCAACCTTGACAAGCCATACCCTCATGTTACTGCCTCTTGTGTTTATGTTTTTCACTGGCTACCACAGCTACAGTGGATTTCAGACCTCGTTCCACGTAACATGGTCGCCAACATTCTAAACTGCTGGCTAACTCTATTGCGCAACACATCCTGGAGTGCACTACGTGACGAAGTCCTCATTATTTCACCGAAGTAATGAACAGACACGGCAACACCCGTTTGCTTTGGCTTGCTGGGGTTGTTGATCGTTTTTTGTACTGAATGACCTTGCGCATTGCTTCCCTTTTGTACGCAGCGATATTATTTCGCGGATTGTATGTATGTATACCATTAAAATGTTTTATCTTGTTATTTTGAACTTTTTGAAGGGAAAATTCTTCATGAAATTTCGTAAGCTGTTTCGTTGTACAGCTTTTTCGCAAGTTATCAGTTATGCAATACCGGTTCAACAGATGGGTCGTTTTATCTAATCTGACGCACCACTTGAAGTTCCAGGCATCATCATCACGTTGGCCCACCGCACCGTCGAAAAGTTGCCGAATAAACACCATCAATCCTGCGTGGGCTACATGTGCCGCGGCATCATCCGCATCTAAGCAGACTCGAATCAGTGATCTTTGGATTACAATCCGGACACCTTATCCTTTCGAACACTGGCCGACAGGAAGTCCAGAGCTCTTGTTTAAGCGTTGCTCACTTTGGAATTGGTGACTGTCAGGTTGTTGTAATATCACATTTAAGCGTTAGGATACACAGTCTACTGCGTCACGTTGACTTCCAGTCCAGTTCCAATACTGCTACTGATACACGCGTTTGTTATCTCATACCCCTCGTGTATCTGTTATCTGGCTGACTCTTTTGCCGCTACTGCATTTTACTTGGTCTAGCTACGAGATCTACTGCCGATCACGTGGCAAAAATGTGTGCTTAATTCGATTTGGCGTCTTGGTCACATTGGTACGTGATGCCTTTCTTGTTAAGGCTCACTAAATCGATTCCATTGGCGGTTATCCAATATGTCCGCTACTATACAAACAAAAATCAGTAGCGCTGATGCGTTTGGTGACTTTTGGCTCTTCAGCTATTTGATCCCCAGGTTTTTCAGTTCCTCCGTGATTATTTATTGTGGTTTATTCTCTTATTCCTGTCTCGTAATTATCCGTTTCTAGGTGCATTCAACTTAAGGGCTTTTATTTCATTTAATCGACTGATTGGTTCCTTGGTTAGAGTTAAGTTTGGTACTCTACATTATGTTTTTTGCACTGACATTCGTCAATGTTGTTATGGAACAACAACATTTCCACTCTGGACTCATAGACAGTTTAATAGTGACGGATCACATCTTATTTTGTGGGCGGTATTGTTCCGGAACGTATTATCGTCTTTACCCAGGCATGTACTGTTCTAGATAGTGTTCTGGAAATTTTCCATTTTCCCATCGCTGATGGTTTCACTACAAGTTTTGGTCTCTTTTACATGTCGGCCCTCATTCTTGTTTCTTAACTTCTGTAGCTTCGATGGGCTTTTGATATAATAGGGTTTATTTACTGATTTTTTATGGCAGATCGGGGTTGTTGTTCTTCTCCTCGCGGTGTGTCTGGATGCCGGGTTTACTGCATTGTCTAGGAACTTGGTCTCATCTATTGGCGGTGCAAAGCGATTCCAAGCTTTATCCTCCATGCTCAGCGTATGCCTTCTGGTTCCCATTTTTCTGCTTGTGAAGTTGTGTCGCTCCTGGTGGCTGAGCACTCAGGTAAGTCGATCATCGCATTTTAGCTCTCTTTTGTCGCAGACGAACTGAAAGATTCTTTTTCCAGTATTTTAGCCTTTAAAACTTACTTTTATGTTTCACTAAATAACATGAAAATCTGCGTTGAGGTTTTTACTTTGGTTATTCAATGGGAAAAGATGTCTAATCACACATGAAACTGAGGCCCGAAATGCACTGACTCAGAGTATTGATCTTATCACAATCTGCTCCTTTCTGAATAGCTCAATAGTATGTTTATGTTATTTAGTATTGGAATCTTCAGACTTCCGAGTTTTGGCGTGAGTTGCCGCCGCATCCTCTACGATCACTTTGGAAGGGGCTTGACACCATAAACCTCAGATTAATCCTATTTCTCATAAAGATTGTGTGCATCGTGGCAATCAACTGTGTCTTGTTATCTGCTGACTTCCTTTGTTTGCCAATACCGAAGAGTCGGTTGACATTATCTATCAAACATTTTGAAGCACTCTGAATTCGCATGAAGCCTTGATATCACGCCTCTCATTGCACTCACCGTGTTAACATGTAACAGCTCGCCTTGACACGTTTTGCTTTTGGTAATGGTTGTTTTGGACTAACTACGTCGGCTCCCATCATTCTTTGGTACACTGTCGTTTCTCAATGAACATCTACATCGATGTCAACCATACTATAAAAATCGACTTCGTGGTCATAGCCTGCCTGGGGATTTACATCGTTGATTCAGACGCATGAATTATCATTGGTTTGCAACGTCTACGTTCACTGGCAGTTACCCACACTTTCTTCTTTCTTTGCGTTTTCCACGACTTTCATCGCTTGCGCTATCGCACAAGTACACCAGATGAATCTCCAGTGATGAGAAGCTTGCACCCGGCGGATGAGCAAGCTCTTTTGAACATTAGAGTGGCTACGTGTCCGTCTGTTGGGATGAATTCATCGAACTCCTCACAAAGAAACATTTTCCGCTCCTTGCTGACCCGTGCAATTTATCGACTTTTCCGACTTCATCCTACGCTGGCACTTGTTATAAATTATCTAGGACAAAATCGTGCTTAATTCTATGAAGAATTGTCGGTTGTTCATTGGATAGACCAATGCACGCTTTCGAAATAAAACTAGACCTTAATGTAGTGCGACGGCTTGCGTATCTCTCTGACCCATAGAGCCATCGAGTCCCCGGGCCCCTTGAGAGATATCTCTACCAGGTTGGTCACTGGTTAGAGGTTAGACAAACGTGGGAATTAGGATGGCGTCCATTTCTGTAAAACCAAATCGTTGCAAAGTACAACCATGACGATTTCATCAGACATCAACTACATTCTTCATCGGCCGTCACGTAGCTTTATAATGGTTGCTTTATCTGCTGCATACAGCAGAGCAGATAAGCCCACATACACTATCCCGTTTCCCTAGCGGCGTTCAAAGTTCAGACGCTAAGACAAATAGGTAAACAGGCTGCACTCGCACGCACATTGGACACCCTGGGTAATGACGTATGTTGCGTGTTCGAAACTAGGATCAATGACCCTGACGGGGCTGTTGACCTAACTGCACTTGGGCCATTCTCTGGCTCTTCGTTGCACGGATCCGGAGACTTATGGGGCAACCAGTGGCCAAACTGGGGTGAATATCGTTCTCAGCTCCAAGGCTGTCAACGCTGATTGATTGGATTCCCATGAACAGCCGTTTGTGTGCAGCTCGTTCGATGACATCAACTATGGTTAATTCACTAAGTAATACTAGACGCTATTTGTTTGTGGTTTCCAACTGTCCATCCAGCGACCGCAATTCTGCTGCTGCTAAGGACACATTCTACCACGAACTGAAAACGCTGCTTTGCAATCTTGCCAGTTCACGTATATTTCTTGCAGGAGATATGAATGCACAAATTGGTCGTCCGAGCTCTTCAAATGCTTAGCTAAGTAGTAATTGTCAACTTAACTCCTACCTGGTGGGCAACGGTGAACGCCAGTTGCAACTATGTGCGGAGCACCGACTGTTTCTTAGTAGCACCCCTTTAAACACAGTGGGCGCCGAAGTGCCACTTGTCGTCGGACTTTAACCGGCCTGCGATGCACCCAAATTCATCACGTTGTCATAAGTTACAGGTGCAATGGCTCCATCCTGACTCGCCCTTTCTGGAATATCTGCATCGACTCTGATCATACTTTGGCACGTTGTCGTATATCCATGAACTACTATGCGCCTCCCTTGATTGGTAACCCGGATGTTATCTCAATCATCGGTCAGACATGCCCATCAGGATGCGCTGCGTGCCGAACTTTCGATCTGTCGCCCTAATGACACTGAGCTTCGGTGGAATAGGATCTTGCCGTCATGCACGAAGCGGGATCCTCTGCTTGCGGCACTTATTCGTCACTGCACAAGTCACTAGATATCCGAATGGGTCAGTGAACCTGTTAGAATCTAGAAGGAAACTCCCGGCTGACTCTGAACACAACGTAGCCAGACAAACTATCAGATACGAACAGAGACGGAGCCTACTTGCTGACAAGGAAGCTTGGACAGTAGGGTTCAGGAAATGAAGGAAACAGGAACTGTAGACAGATATCGCAAGCTGTTCCAGCTAATCCGCATCACTCTCCCAGAAACCAGGCGTTAGTGACACAATCAGAGACAGCACACGTGCTCTGGTACACAATATGGAGCGCCGTATGGCTCGGTGAGCAGAGCACTGCCGAGAGCAGTTAAGTTGGCCCCCTTTCCCCGGACCCCTCCACACTCAGTGGGTGCAGGCTGAGCCAGTTAGTGTTGATGTTCCATCGGAGGCTGAGGTTCGAAACGCGATCGCAGCCTTTGATCGTTCTCAAGCTGCTGATCCGGATTTCCTCTCACCTGCACTACATAAAAATTGAGGTGATGTCCTTTACAAGGCACTGACCTCCCTATTCGAACATGTTTGGTAGACACAGACCATCATTTGTAGTGGCAATATACAAGGAGAACATTCACACCGACTGTGCTAACCACAGGGTTCTAGTCTAATGTCAGTCGTAGCGAATTAATAGACTCAATTCTCATTCCTCGCCTCACCGCGGTACAGAAATTTCGGGTTAGAGAAGAGGAAGCAGGTTTCCATGGAAGATGGGACTGTATTGACCACCTATTGACTCTGTGGCAGTTGGTAGAGCAGCACCACGCGTACCGCAGACCGACAATAGCTGTTTCCTCGACTTCAAGAGTACGTTCGATTCAGTCGATCGATACATTCTGTTCGAACTACTTGTGCGAAAATGTGTTTCTATGAAACAGCTGAACAGTTTACGTACTCCCTACTCCAAAACCACAGGCCTCGTCAGGTTCCACAGCCAGTCTGAGAATATAGTCTAGCGGCACGTCTGTTTGTTGCATCAATGAGCGACTAAAGGAAACCCGACGCGTTCTCCCTAAACTGAACCCGTCCAATCGACACACTGTGTAGGAGCGCAAGCGTCCGTGAGACTGCGCGTAAGCTGTGCCACAGTTGTCTACCTGCCCTTTTGTCGGGCCGCATGAGAAGTGGAAACTTGACTACAAACTGCATCGGCTGATGGTCACATTGGCGCTGAGACTCAGCCGACCTCATCATTCAAGGCACACGATAACCTGACTCCGATACGATTGAGGCCTGAAAGGCACACACACAGGAGTCAGGCTATGACTAGGCGAACTGGTGGAATTTGTGCAATTTCTTTATCGCATCACTGGCTGGGTGATGGATCACGAGCATATACCGCCGTCACCAAGTTGCCCTCATCAATCCGAATCGCGTTACGTGCCTCTTAATCAGCGAGTGATTGGCGTTCGTCTGTATGGGGAGTGCGGGTGTATCACCGAACAAACTGCTCGACAATACAACACTATCCACAGTGACAAGCAGCCCATTATCATCATCATCACCATACACGTTAGCTAGAGGTGGGAAACAACTCAGCTAAGGTACCGCAATCCATAGAAAAAAGGAGAAATATATGCAACTAGTGCAAGCCGGCTGAGCTGCCGGTAACGGATGAGCATCGTTGCGATAAGCTACCAGCCCGCTACGGTGCATTAAAAAATCACTATGCAAAATTATATGATGCTAAATAGTGAGGTCGTGGTTCGAGGGGTAGGCTAAAAGGGACGGGGTGGGACAAGGAAACTCACAGCACGAACGCCACTGAGGTCGGCTCCTAGCCATATCAGCAATTAGCAGCCCATCAACGGACTGTATGTTCGTAGGCTGTTGGGAAAATTTGAGAAGCTGGGAGCGTGTGCGACGCCAAAGACAGGGCGGCTTCGCATCACCACGGATGACTTTTCTGCTTGTGTGGTTATTCCTGATGTGTCCAGAAGCTGTGATCTGAGCATTCGTAAACTCGCCCAGCATTGCGACACCACCAGATGTGCTGTCCATAGGCTTTTGAAAGAAAGGAAACTCCGAAAGTATAGTGCCCGTCAAGTGCAGGTTTTAAATCCATGTGCTTCGGAGAAGCGGCTTGATTTTTGCCGCAGGTTTTTGAATGCCATGAACATCCATTCAACTTTTTTACCGATGAGGTTGTTTTCTGTTTGCACGGTACGGAGAAGCAACAGTTTTGGGTAACGTGTAATCCACACCGATGCAGCGCTTCACCTATCCAACATGGCGCAAAGCTCATGGTATGCGCTGGGTTAACTGGCCAGATAATCATGAGCCCATTTTGCTTTTCTGGTAATGTAACCGGTAGGTTGTTGTTTCACAGTACTAATGCCTTACGCTTTCTAGCATCCTCGTACAAGGAATTACTGCAAAATTGTGTCATTCCGGAACTGGAAGCCGCTAGGTTATTAAGTACCGTTTGGTTGCAACAAGATGGCGCATTGCACACTATGCACAAACGGTGCGGGATTTTCTCAACCAGTCGTTCCCTTGTCGTTGGATCGGGCGGGGAGGATCTATGAGATGGCCTGCTTGGTCACCAGATTTGAACCCATTGGATTTCCTCCTCTGGGGTTACTTGAAACAGCGGGTTTACAAA